GAACTAAACAGACATTTCTCCAAAGAAGACATACAGATGGCTAACAAACACATGAAAAGATGCTCAACATCACTCATTATCAAAGAAATGCAAATCAAAACCTCAATGAAGTGTCTTTTCTAGAACAGGCAATTGAGATGCCAGAATTCTGATTTTATATCATACCTAAACCTTACAAAAACATTTTTATTTCTTTCAGATTTGCTTTAGGTTCTTAAAAGTCAAAGAAGATGTGACTTTTGACAATGATGGAGTTTATCTTAGCCCTGTGCTCTCTGAAAGTAATGATGGTTAAGAAATACCCCCTCTTTGTGTTCCAAGAAACACAAAGGACAACCCAGCCTTCCCATATTCTGACATAAGACCCACCTCCACCTCGTCTCAGGAGTCCCACAAGTCCAAGGCAAGTCCTCTTAGCCTCTATAAAAACTCACGCCTCTTTTCTCTGAGACATTCCTCATTAATAAGCGTTCTCCCTATTGCAAAATTATATCCATAATTGACTGGTGCATATTGTCTTTCACACTTCATAGAGAGGGGACTTGTGGTGGGAGGATTTATTTTTAGCCTCAAAGATGGTATCCGTTGGAAAATCAACAGCTAACAATAGTAAGTGTCAAAATAATTCTTGACAATAGACCACAGACAACCAAATGGTCTACTCCCTTAGCAGAAAGCCAGCATGGAGCTCAGTTTCAGAGAAGCAAATAATTACTACTTCCAGAGGCTGATAGAAACTTGTTTCAAGCAAATGGCTGGACAAAAAGATACTGTTGGAAATAATTTCCTAGTATATAAAGTAGATGTGGCTCTATATAATTTCTTCCTGAAATTAACTATCTCCTTTCTGCTGGGCACAAAATTCTCAGTCTTTCCCTGTCTAGGATCCATGGTTCTAAAGAAATGAGATGGTGGCAGGATGTTCCTAGAAGCTAGGGACAGTCATACACTTCATGTCTGCACGCTCTTACCTTTCCAAGGTACAGATACAAGAGGTCCATCAGCCTGCCCTCCCATTGGGCAGAAGATCTGTGGTCAGCTGTATAAACATTAGGGTTTAGATAAATGGCTTCAACTTTATTCCAATACCTTTGTTAGTCCTTCCTACTAGAGTTTACAGGGCTTCCCTGATGGCTCAGTGGGTAAAGAATCTTCCCACAATGCAGGAGATACAGGTTTGATCCCTGGGTCGAGAAGATCCCCTGGAGGAGGGCATGGCAACCCACTCTGGCATTCCTGCCTAGAGGAACCTAGGCACAGAGGAGCCGGGCATGCTACAGTCCATGGGGTTGCAAAGAGTTGGACATAAATGAAGCAACTGAGCACGCACGCACCAGAGTTTACATTCTAGAGCAACCCCAGAGAAACACTTAGTTCCATTCTGTTAGACACAAGCCCTCCAAATACCCTACAAAGCCAAAAAAAAAGATCAGTTGGGCTCAGATGCTAATGAAGTCTGGTGCCAAGGGCCCATTTATAACCTACAGACTCAGCGTTCTTGGGATGAGTAAATTAGATCCAGGTATACTGGGAATCCTCTAAAAATTATACACCATATGTTGTGTGTGTGTATGTGTGTGTGTGCATGCGTACGCATGTGTATGTACACGCATGCATGTGCAACTTTCTAAAGAATGATTCCACAGTCTTCTCACATTCTTTAAGGATCCATGCCACCTGAATGGATAAGAAATATTACCTATTGCAGATACTCTGGTCCTTTGAAGAAATATTATCTAGACAGCTCTCCTTCATCACTGGCTCTGACATGCCCAGGAGTACCAAGTTTACCACCAGTTTATGAATAGGCTTACTTACTTCATTTGTAGGCACTCAATCTTCTCCTGGGATCAGCCATGAGCCAATAAGTCATGCCAAGGCGTTTGGTATCAGCAAAGTCTGACTAAATCAATTCATTTCCTAGAAGGCGACAAGAGGGAGGTTATATGATTAAATCCAGCCCATTTGATATTGTTTGTTAGGGTTGATATAACAGAACACTACAGACTGGATAACTTATAAACAATAAGAATTTACTGCTCAAGGTGAGGTGCTTGAGGCTGGGAAGTACAAGATGAAGGCAGCATCACGGCCCTTTCCTGGTACACGGCTGGAGCCTTCTTGCTGTGTCCTCGCATGCTGGAAGGGGCCGGGGAGGTCAGTGGGGCCACTCCTTGAGAATTCTGCCCTACGACCTCGTTACCTCCCAAAGGCCCAATGTCTGAATTCCCTCACCGCTGGGGGTTAATATTTCAGCACATGAATTCTGGAGGAGGAGGGGACATAAACATCTGGGCAGAATGGATATTTTCCACAAGTATTCTCCATCAGGACTGTAATCTGATACCCAAAACAGCACTGGCTAGAGACAATGTGAAATTGAAATGGAAACACATGAGTGCCACCAAGATGTTTGATCCATTTTTTTTTTCTTTGTAAGCACTGAAACCTGGATTTCATGGTCTATGCTTTGAATTAATAACAGCTTTTATAGTTACTGCCATATATTTTGCATAATTTTAACAGGCAAGCCTTAATTGGCTCACTGAACTGTATCTCTGTGAGACTGCTGTTTTCCTATGAAACAGCAAATGCCAACAAGATAGACATCCCTGTTCTAGGCTGTTTACAGTTCTAAGAGGTAAACAGGCAGTTATTACATTAAAAACATTCCTTGTGTGCCAGCAACATCTAATTTTAACCTGTGGGGCTTTCAGAGGAGGAACTTAGGGCTAGAGATGGCACAAAGAAGCCCCAAATATGCCTGCTGCCTAAAACCTGAAGCCCAGTCTGATTCCATTGTGGTTAAATAAACCACATGCTTCTCAACATCGCTGTTGTCTTCAGGTACAAAATGGGACAGTATTGGCCACTTAGTCTATCCATAAGAGCCTCTTATTTTCTAACTAAGAAGCTAAGACTCTCTCAGTTTCTAACTTGCCTTGAGACAGTAACTTGGAAGCATTTTGCAGACCCATAGCTAGAAGTGCCACTTTTTAAACTGGATATAAAATAAATTAAGTGGAATTCTGATATTCACATGCATTAACTTCCCTTGAAGGGACCAACACACTAACTTGGGCAGAACCTACAAAAAGCTCAGTTGAGGTGTCACCTCCTCGGTGGCCAACTTAATTGCTCCCTCCTCTGTGCTGGCCAAACGTGTCATAATTGCTAGCTGTTACGCTGGTCTCAACAGGCTGAGGTCCTCTGGGGCAGGCACTATGTTTTATTTATCTCTGTATCTTGGGGAGTGCATATAAATTGCCAGCTTGCTGACTGCAGGGATTCATTTAATGAGAGCAGAGTGTTAGACCGGAATCCCATCCCAATTCAGAATATGCTCTGAAGTGTGCCTACCAGTTCACATGCCTTGGTAAAATACTGAAGGACCATGTACTTCCTGTTTGTACGTGCAAATCACAGCAGGAAAGGGGGATTCTGAACACAATTCTCAGGGCCCCAGGAGGGGTGAGAATATTAGAAAAACCCTGATGACTAAAAATATTTCATCTCAATGATTCAGCAAAAGCATTTTGTGGTGCCAGGCACTGTTCTAAGCCTCCTTGTAAAGCACAGGACAGTTACCGCATACATTACATACGAGGAAATTGGCACAGAAAGGCAGAGTTACTTGCCAAACAGACGAGCCTTATGTGAGTATTGTGAGTATTCTCCATGCCTCTCACCTCTGAAATGAGGCAGGGTGAATCCTTTTTTCCTCTGTGTTCCCACAGACCCACTACTCAGGCCCGGACCTCACTGCTTTGTGCTGTGACAGGAGATCCATGTCGGTCTCGTTGGCCAAACACAGTTGGAGGACTGGGACTGTGTGTTTCTTGGTCACCTTTCTGCCTCCCCACTTAGGGTAACTGGCTTACAGGAGCTTCTCAATAAGTGTCCCCTGAGAATGAGGGCAGTCTCTTTCCAGAACTACCACTTTTGAGGAATTTCCTGGAGCAGTGGTTGCCAACCGTTTTGGCACCAGAGACTGGTTTTGTGGAAGAAAATTTTTCCATGGACTGGGGTGGGGTTGGGGGAGGGATGGTTCCAGGATGATTTGAACACATTACATTCATTGTGCACTTTATTTCTATTATTATTACATTGTGACATATAGTGAAATAATTAATACAACTCATCATAATGCAGAATCAGATCATCAGCCATTAGGTTCTTGTAAAGAGAGCGCAACCTAGATCCCTTGCATGTGCAGTTCACAGCAGTGTCCGTGCTCCTATGAGAATCTATTACTGCTGGTGATCTGCCAGGAAGTGGGGCTCAGGCAGTAATACGGGTGATGGGGAGTGGCTGTAAATACAGATGAAGCCTCACTCACTTGCCAGCCGCTTACCTCCTACCGTGCAGCTTGGTGGGGGTGGGGGGAGTTTCTAAAAGGCCACAGATGGCTATCAATCTGTGACCCCAAGGCTGGGGACCCCTGACCCAGAGAAAAGGATGAACACAGACTCATCCTATGGCCTCAGTTGTCTCTGCAACCTCTGGTGAACGTAAATATTTAACAAGGACTTCCCTTGCATTACTGTTTATAGTGAAAAAGGAAAAAACTACTTACAGATCCACCTCAAGTAATAGGAAAGTGGTCAGCAAGTCACAGCATAGGCATCTCCTGGAAAGTACGCCACCACTAAAAACGATGGGGTAGATCAGCAGCTGCACAGAGATCAAATCTGGTGTTGCACCAAATGTGAATCAATAGGTACAATATTCCTGTGCCCTGGAACACCTATTCTTGGCGGGAGAGAACACAGAGCTGAGTGGATCACATGCTGCAGTAGAAAGCGTATCATGCTGTAAGAAAGATTAAAAACTCAGACTAAAGCCCAGGACACTTACAGGAATGTGCTCAACTTTTGCCTTTTGAGGACATCGGAGTGCACAGTGGGGGCCATCAATAGCTCTACTCAAGTAACGAAGGGCTCCTAAAGGGGGAACAGCCAACAGTGGGGTTATGGTGGATGTTTTGACAACAAAAAGACATCTGTATCCTTAGTCACTGGTGTCTTTTCATTTTTTCAAGTATGCAGCTAAAAATCATAGGGTTTGAAAGTTCGCCTCAAACACCAAGGATGTTGAAAATCACTGGTAAACAAAAATCTTTAATGACGTGGAAAGATGGTGATACATCAAATCAAAGAAGCCGGTTGTGAAACAGCACGTGTGATACAATCCTGTTTTTAATTGGCACAGAAAGGCAGAGTTACTTGCCAAACAGACGAGCCTTATGTGAGTATTGTGAGTATTCTCCATGCCTCTCACCTCTGAAATGAGGCAGGGTGAATCCTTTTTTCCTCTGTGTTCCCACAGACCCACTACTCAGGCCCGGACCTCACTGCTTTGTGCTGTGACAGGAGATCCATGTCGGTCTCGTTGGCCAAACACAGTTGGAGGACTGGGACCGTGTGTTTCTTGGTCACCTTTCTGCCTCCCCACTTAGGGTAACTGGCTTACAGGAGCTTCTCAATAAGTGTCCCCTGAGAATGAGGGCAGTCTCTTTCCAGAACTACCACTTTTGAGGAATTTCCTGGAGCAGTGGTTGCCAACCGTTTTGGCACCAGAGACTGGTTTTGTGGAAGAAAATTTTTCCATGGACTGGGGTGGGGTTGGGGGAGGGATGGTTCCAGGATGATTTGAACACATTACATTCATTGTGCACTTTATTTCTATTATTATTACATTGTGACATATAGTGAAATAATTAATACAACTCATCATAATGCAGAATCAGATCATCAGCCATTAGGTTCTTGTAAAGAGAGCGCAACCTAGATCCCTTGCATGTGCAGTTCACAGCAGTGTCCGTGCTCCTATGAGAATCTATTACTGCTGGTGATCTGCCAGGAAGTGGGGCTCAGGCAGTAATACGGGTGATGGGGAGTGGCTGTAAATACAGATGAAGCCTCACTCACTTGCCAGCCGCTTACCTCCTACCGTGCAGCTTGGTGGGGGTGGGGGGAGTTTCTAAAAGGCCACAGATGGCTATCAATCTGTGACCCCAAGGCTGGGGACCCCTGACCCAGAGAAAAGGATGAACACAGACTCATCCTATGGCCTCAGTTGTCTCTGCAACCTCTGGTGAACGTAAATATTTAACAAGGACTTCCCTTGCATTACTGTTTATAGTGAAAAAGGAAAAAACTACTTACAGATCCACCTCAAGTAATAGGAAAGTGGTCAGCAAGTCACAGCATAGGCATCTCCTGGAAATTACGCCACCACTAAAAACGATGGGGTAGATCAGCAGCTGCACAGAGATCAAATCTGGTGTTGCACCAAATGTGAATCAATAGGTACAATATTCCTGTGCCCTGGAACACCTATTCTTGGCGGGAGAGAACACAGAGCTGAGTGGATCCCATGCTGCAGTAGAAAGCGTATCATGCTGTAAGAAAGATTAAAAACTCAGACTAAAGCCCAGGACACTTACAGGAATGTGCTCAACTTTTGCCTTTTGAGGACATCGGAGTGCACAGTGGGGGCCATCAATAGCTCTACTCAAGTAACGAAGGGCTCCTAAAGGGGGAACAGCCAACAGTGGGGTTATGGTGGATGTTTTGACAACAAAAAGACATCTGTATCCTTAGTCACTGGTGTCTTTTCATTTTTTCAAGTATGCAGCTAAAAATCATAGGGTTTGAAAGTTCGCCTCAAACACCAAGGATGTTGAAAATCACTGGTAAACAAAAATCTTTAATGACGTGGAAAGATGGTGATACATCAAATCAAAGAAGCCGGTTGTGAAACAGCACGTGTGATACAATCCTGTTTTTATTATAGAAAGAATATGCAGGCACGGCAAAGGAACTGGAGGACAGACACCAAAACTGGGCTGTAAACAGGACTGCTCTTCGGAAGATGGGAATAGAAGCTTATTGTTTTCTTTTTGTTCACTGGTAATTTTTCACTGCTACAAAAAAAGAGATGTTCTATTTATATACTGGGAAAATTTCATAGAAGTTAAAGTTTTTAAAAAGTTAGGGGGCATACTCATCCATGTGTCTATGTGCACACATACACGTACACCCCCCACCAAAGCGGAGTAAGGCTTTTAATCTTTATTTTTTGGCAGCAGCTACAAATCCTCTGCCACATCATTGTACTCACTCAAAATTTTATTGGGGGGGGTAGGCATTTGCTGGGATCATAGAATCTTCTGTACAAAAACACAAGGGTGTACCTTGCAGGTACACCCCCATCAGATTCTCTCGGGTGGTAGGCAGACGTGATGTAGACCACTCTTCTCAGCAGGAGGTAAAAATTAGGCAGTAAGCTGATACTGTTTCTTCCATTCTGCAAATCTTTTGCAAGAACACAAGCAGGCCTAAAGAGTTGCAGTTGCTTTTTGATGGTAGAGACACCCTGCTCTTTAAGGGCGACAAACCAGAGTTCCCTAATAACCTGGCAGCCCATCATGCACAACTTAACGAACTGTCCTTCACTGCTGACAGCACACAGGTGTCTGTGTGTGACAGATGCCCGATAAATGTCGGGAAGGCGCCAGCTAGTCATCAGTGCATGCTCGGTCGCTTCAGTCGTGTCCAACTCTTTGCAACCTTATGGACTGTATCTCGCCAGGCTCCTCTGTCCATGGGATTTCCCAGGCAAGAATACTGGAGTGGGTTACCATGTTCTCCTCCAGGAGATCTTCCCGACCCAGGGATCAAACCCACGTCTCTCCTGTTTCCTGCATTGGCAAGTGAGTTCTTTACCACTAGCACCACCTGGGAAGCCCCTAATCATCAGATCCATTAATAAAACATCATCTAATTGGATGCAGTTCAGCCCAGCTATACTCACTCATCCATAAATGTGGTGAGAACAAAAGCTGAAACAACTCTCTGTTAGCAAATCCAGGGGGGTGAACAGCAACACAAGTCCAGAGTTCAAAGTGACAAGCAGTTATTGAAGATGCTGTGGAAGTACAATCAGTCACTCAGTGCAGTGATGAGGCCAAAAGTGTAAGGATTTTACAAGATCATGAATTAATGACTGGACTACAGAATGGTAAATAAGAGGTGATAAGGCCAGTGAACCAAACTGCCAAACTGCTGAACTGTTAAATAACCAATCATTTTTAGGAAAGAGAATATGGTTACCAGACATCTGACAGAATGTAATTAACACACCACTGTTATCGTTTTGAATACCTACCTTCTGTCCAACCTCACTACTCCATATGCTTGTCCTCAGAATATTTTTCCCTTTGAAAAATTCTGAATTAGGTTGGTATTGGGAAAAAGAGTCTCCAATTATTCCAAAGGATGGAGCACAGATGGGAATGTTTACCTGTTACTCTTTTTAAAAAAATATTATTATTTATTTATTTAGCTATGCTGGGTCTTAGTTGCTGCATGAGGAATCCTTGATCTTTACCTGCAGCATGTAAACTTTTAGTTGCGGCATGTGGAATCTAGTTTCCTGACCAGGGATCGAACCTGGGCTGCCTGCATTGGGAGCATAAGTCTTAGCCACTGGACCACCAGGGAAATCCGTACTCTCTTTACTGGACCCATAATAGCATTAATAAAAGCAGATCACCTTTTAAAGCTTAACCAGAAATATGGTTACAGCACTTCCCACAGAACCCTCAGCTTTAGCCACTGTTCCACTTGATCTGGGAACTGTATCCATGTTTAGCCATAGCAGAGAATTAACAGTTACCATTTCCCAAGAGCTGAGGATGGGCCAGGCACTGGATGAGCCCGAGGCAGATGTTATTCTTTTACTTGTCACAAATATCTTGGAGGTGAGGACAATCATTGCCTCACTCTACAAATGAAGAAACAGGCTTAGAGAAGTGAAGTAACTTGTCTGAGGAGATACCGCTAGTAAATCAGTCCATCTTGCTACAGGATGGAGCTCAACTCTTGCTCAACTACTTCACAGGCTTTTTGTGAGGTCCAAATGAGATCCTATGTATGAAAGCCTTGAAAACAGTAAAGCATTTGACAAATAGCATGTGTTATTTTAAAAAGTCAGAAGACTAACTCATAGTCCTTAGGAGCACAACGCTTCAATCATCACAGCTTCAGTAGAAAGACCACACTGTCCCCCAACCTCCAGTTCTTTAAATAAAGGGCATGGGATTTTCTTAAGCATATCTTTTAAAGATCAAGGGATCAGGTATGCATGCTGGTACTTGAACTGGTCTTTGCGGGGAGCTTTAGTGTCTTAACTTTAATGCAGACACCCTGCCCGAGCTATTCATCCTGACTAGAGCAAGTAACTATTCCACTGTTACTATCAATTCTGTTCCAAAGACACAACTACCGTAATTTTACACCCCAAATCTAGGCAATACAAGAATGAAAGGGGAAAAAAACAAGCAATACTTTCTCATGAAAGGGCTACATTACATAGAGCAATTTGTTTTTATTATTATCATGATTAATAGTTAAGTACACTGTGTAATTCCCAGACAACATAAAAGTGGATGATTTATATACAGAACACCTGTATTTTTTTTTTTTTTTGAATCAGTAGGACTCACCAGTCTATTAAAAGGCAACCACACAATTAAAACCTGCACAATTCAGAAAATGCAGTATTTGAGCAATTAGAAAGTCAATTGTCAATTCATTTTGGCAAACCTACTGTGTAATTCCACTTTTCAAGTAACGTCAAGTGCAAATTCCAATATGTCCTCTCATCTAAAAATCACTGCAAATTCCATCATGTCCTCTCATCTAAAACTCACCACGACAAACAACAACCCCAACCAAATCTACCTGCCCTGGTGAGTCACGATTCAGCCCACGTGACTAGCCCCAAGCATGGTCGAGGGCCAGTCATTCCAACATGTGCTGGAGCACCGAGGGGTCCACGTCCACGGCCTGCAGGCCCCTGTGCAGGCTCTGGAAGGTGGCCTCCTTCCCGAAGCGCTGCCTCCAGCGCACAAAGGCCTCCACCACCTGGGACTGCACATTGTGGGGGTGGTTGGCCTTACAGCGGTAGACGTCTGTCTGGGAGAGCCCCAGAGACAGCACCAGAGGCTCCCACTCGGGGCCCAGCCTCAGGGCCAGCTGGTTGATCTGCCGGTCGGACGGGGAGCTGTGCAGGATGTGCGGGGGGACTCCAGTCATCCGGTCATCTGGGGAGGAGAAAGACACCATGGTGAAGAGAGGGCACCGACACATCAGAAAGTGAGAAAAGTGTTAGATGCTCAGTTCTGTCTGACTCTACATGACCCCATGGAATATAGCCCACCAGGCTCCTCTGTCCACGGGATTCTGCAGGCAAGAACACTGGAGTGGGTAACCATTCCCTTCTCCAAGGGATCTTCCCAACTCAGGGATCGAACCCGGGTCTCCTGCATGGCAGGCAGATTCTGTACTGTCTGAGCCACTAGGTAAGCCCAAACACATCAGATGGGGTAGGGACAGGCAGAAATGAAAAATGTGGGGGATGACACACATCCCAAGTGGCAGGGGCCCACTTTTAGTCTTCACAGGGGCTGCTCAGTAAAAAGCCATATAGGGGCTTAGGAAACACTTAGCACCTAGGGACAGGTTTATTACAGAAAATGTGAAAACAAGAAAATAAAAATAATTTGAAATCCCATCAGAAACCCATTCAGAATACTTTGATCTATTTCTTTTCAGTCTTTTATGCATAAAACATACATTTATGATTACATTGCAGGTACTGCTCAGATGTTAAAGAATCTGCTGCAATGCAGAGGACCCAGGTTCAATCCCTGGGTTGGGAAGATCCCCTGGAGAAGGGAATGGCAACCTAGTCCGGTACTATTGCCAGGAGAATTCCATGGACAGAGGAGACTGGCAGGCTATAGTGCATCAGGTCATAAAGAGTTGGACGCGACTGAGCGACTAAAACACACGATGCTTTGTAACATGCATTTTTCACCTCCATCTCCTTTACTAGGGAGGCCAAGCTGAGGCTTCTGGAGGCATCTAAGGATGCCTTCGTGGCCCTCCTCCCTCTGGAACTGGCCTGTGGGGGCAGGGGTGATGTTGTCTCCTGTAGGAATGGCCAGTGCTAGANCGCGACTGAGCAACTAAAACACACGATGCTTTGTAACATGCATTTTTCACCTCCATCTCCTTTACTAGGGAGGCCAAGCTGAGGCTTCTGGAGGCATCTAAGGATGCCTTCGTGGCCCTCCTCCCTCTGGAACTGGCCTGTGGGGGCAGGGGTGATGTTGTCTCCTGTAGGAATGGCCAGTGCTAGAGGGTAATTTGCTAGAGGGTTAACAGGCTGTACAGAACAGCTAGTCTCGCCTGACCAACTTGAACACCTCTGAGAAAAGTGAGTTTTTACAGAGGCATGAGCTAAGAAGGGCCCGAAGCAAAAACTAAAACCTAAAAGGCCATGAGGGACCAGCACAGATCACAGGAGGAGGATGACCTCCTGGCTGAGCTCAGCACAGATCACAGGAGGAGGATGATCTCCTGGCTGAGCTCAGCACAGATCACAGGAGGAGGATGACCTCCTGGCTGAGCTCAGCACAGATCACAGGAGGAGGATGACCACCTGGCTGAGCTCAGCACAGATCACAGGAGGAGGATGACCTCCTGGCTGAGCTCAGCACAGATCACAGGAGGAGGATGACCTCCTGGCTGAGCTCAGAAGAGGAGAGCAAGCACGTGCTGCCGATGGGCAATGAGAGAACCCGACACTGCACTTCCTAAACTCGAGCCCTGTCTCCCCAAGGCCAGTCTGCTGAGGAAGCCTAACATCAAGTGAGTGACTACGGATGTGCTAAAAGGTGCCACTAGTTATACAGAAGGCCTTCCAGAAGAAGGAAATTAAAAGCTAAGTCCTGAGCACGAGGAGAAGGAGTCCAGTGAAGAGCAAGGAAAGGAGGGTACCCTATGCAATGGGTAAGGCATGTGCAAAGGCCCTGAGGCAACAGAACATGGCAGGTGAAAGACAGTCACTGCAGCAAAGAGCAGAGGTTGAGACACACTCCAAACACCCAAAATGATGGTGTCAGTCATGGGTTAGACCAGGACTGAAAGCTCAGCTTTCCATACAATAGCACCTTGAACTACATTTTCTGTCACCAGCATTCCAGGAATTCAGGTCAATCCCACTTCACACTCACAGCTCACTGTTTTGATTTATGAATTCAATGAGAAGGCAAGATGCATCCTGTTAGAATAGTTGATATCTTCCACGGCATGGACCTTTGGTCTGTAGGCAGTTGCCAACAGCTTAGGCACAAGCTGCAAAAATATTGCCAAGGACTCTTTCTGGTATCTGTCAAGACTGCTATTTTTTTTTAATGATTAAGAAGCAAAGTAGAATGATGATACTACTGAGCAATATTTTATATTAATACTGGCACTTCTATGGCTTTTCTAAAAATATGGGCTCAAACATACAAAAAAGTACAAAGAAGAAAACAAAATTTCCACTATCCTACCATCTTATTGACAGTTCATGAACATCATTCCAGACATCTCTTTATGTGTGTATACTATGAGAAGGAGAATATAACAGTCTTTTTCAATAAGAGTTACTTAATTTTGCTTGAATATAACAAGGAAAACCAGCAGAGGTGACACTAAATGACTTTCTGATCTACAATTAAGTGCTTTAAAAAAACCCAAAACAAATAATAAAAAACAAATACACAAAATATTTAATGCTGAGAAAAAGATTAATGAAAATTTAACAGATAAACAATATGTTTCCACATTAATGCTGTATTTATATTCTCTTTTTTCTCATACCTCTTGATTTTTGCTGCTTCTATCATGTTTATTTTGTTGGATGCACAACATTTACATGCTTCTGCAATAATAATTGTCCCCCATTATCTAGTCTTAAAACTACATTATAATGGTTTGAATGTTCACCAGTGTTTTTTGTTGTTGTTATTGTTTTTTTAACACAGCTTTTCTGCTCCTGAGTCTGTTATTTTGATTTGAGTCTCATTTGGTCAATCTCTTCATAGGGTGGTTTTTTTTTCCAAGAAAGGTTCATGGTTACTATATTCCTTGAGTTCTTTCAGATCAAGGCTATCTGCTTAGTGCCTTCACTGTTGAACAAGAACAATATTTATAAAAACAATGTCCTATTATATTATATTTTAAATTATGAATATAATTTTATATTGTTTAAATAATTTTATTTCTCTTACATTTGTAGAACTTGCTCGTATTTTACGGTAGAGAAAACTGGTATGGAGAATTCTGATACTATCTTCATCATCCCCCTTTAGGGATAACCTGCTTTTTCTCTCTGGAGTTTGCAATACTGAAGCTTTAGACCAGAGTTTATCTTGGTCACTCTATATGCAGCATGGCCTCTGACCAAAGATTTAGTTCTTCCTTCTTTTCAAAAAAATCTTTCTGAGTTATATCTTTGTATTATTTTTTTCTATTCCTCATGCTGGATGGTTTTGCCTATCTTCTACAGCTATCATTTTCTCTTATCATTTCAACTTCCTTCCAGTAATTATCTCATGCCTTTCCACCATGCCATTCATTTGACTACCACTTAGGGCTATTCTGTATTTTTTTTTCCATTTATTTTTATTAGTTGGAGGCTAATTACTTTACAATATTGTAGTGGTTTTTGCCATACATTGACATGAATCAGCCATGGATTTGCATGTATTCCCCATCCNTATCTATCAAGGGATAAACAGATAAATAAAAAGTGGTATATTATACATCAGAATATTATTCAACCTTAAAAAGGAAAGAAAAAATTCTGACTCATGCTGCAAAATGGATGATTCTTAAGGACATTATTCTAGCTGAAATAAATCAGTCACAAAAGAGACAACTACACCATGATTCCACTCACATGAGGTACTCAGAATAGTCAAATTTAATGGGACAGAAAGAATGATGGTTGCCAGGGTCTTGGGAGGGGCGAATGAGGAGTTGTTATTTAACAGGGACAAAGTTTCTGACTTGCAAGATGAAAAGGTCTGGAGGTTTGTTGCACAGCAACATGGATGTACTTAACCACTGAATTGCACACTTGAAAATGGAAAAGATAGCAAGTTGTATATTTTACAATTAAAGATAAAACATGAAAAGAATCTTGTTTAATCATAACACTGAGTTTTTATTTCTACTGAACTGACACTGAACTCTTCTACAGCATGAAATGGTTATGAGATTGAGTTTTCTTGGACTCACTTTTGTCCCAAACCAGATTGGTTGCATGTTTATTTTTTGCAAGCTGTGTTCCTGTCTTTCATTCCTCACTTGTATGCAGTGTCTTCACAACACTTAGCTTCATCTTGTTCATACTTGATGTGGGTATCTCTGTTCAGAACTCTGTTTGGTCACCTACAGTAAGTTGATATATCCTTGACAGCCCATTCACTTACAGGGGATTACACTCTGGGGTTGGCTGTGGCTTTCTGTGTGGTGCTCTGCCATGAAGGAGAGGTAGGACCCACAGGGCCAGCCTTTGCTGGAGATGCTACACACTGATTTTGTTTGTTTTTCTTTCTTTTAATTAATTAATTTATTTTAATTGGAGGCTAATTACTTTACAGTATTTTGGTGGTTTTTGCCATACATTGACATGAATCAGCCATGGGTGTACATGTGTCCCCCATCCTGAACCCCCCTCCCACCTCCTCCCCATCCCATCCCTCTGGGTGGTCCCCCTGCACCGACTTTGAGTGCCCTGTTTCATGCATTGAACCTGGACTGGCGATCTATTTCACATACGATAATATACATGTTTCAACGCTATTCTCTCAGATCATCCCACCCTTGCCTTCTCCCACAGAGTCAAAAGTCTGTTCTTTATACCTGTGTCTCTTTTGCCATCTCGCATGTAGGGTCATCATTACCACGGTCATCTAAATTCCATGTTTATACGTTAATATACTGTATTGGTGTTTTTCTTTCTGACTTACTTCACTTTGTATAATAGGTTCCAATTTCATCCACCTCATTAGAACTGATTGAAATATGTTCTTTTTAATAGCTAGTAATATTCCATTCGGAGAAGGCAATGGCACCCCACTCCAGTACTCTTGACTGGAAAATCCCATGGACAGAGAAGCCTGGTAGGCTGCAGTCCATGGGGTCGCTAAGAGTCAGGCACGACTGAGCAACTTCACTTTCACTTTTCACTTTCACGCATTGGAGA